CGACGAGTACGAGTACAAAAAAAAGCTAAAATTCTAACAGTGCACCAACTTTTTCATGACACTGGTAGCAGGTAATTGTGTTCACCTTTATATCTGCTCCTTTGCTCCGGGTGGAAACTCGGCTTCCAGAGGAAGATCCCTCTGTGTTTGAAGAGCTGGAAGCTGTCGATGCTGCTGCAGCTTCCTGATCACTACTGCTCTTACTTTCCTTCTCAGCTGGATGTTTACTTGCATTTGGTTCTGCAGCCGGTTTTCTATCAGAGGCAAAGTCGACTGTGGAAGCTATTCTTGCTCTCACCTGAAGGACGTGAAAATAGAAGCCATAAACCACACAAACCACAGGCTACTGCTAAGCACAAAGTGAGCATACAATGTCTCATTGCAGACATTGGTCATTTCGTATCCATACCTCTTTTTTAATATGTGCAGAACTTTCCAATTCAGTTGATCGTTCTACAACTGTACCAGCGCTAGCTGACCTTCTGCTTCTTGTAGCTGCAACTTCCTCTGTAGCTTGCAGATCTGGATCTATTCTGGTCGCTGAAACCTGCCCGACTGTACCTTTACCAGGTTTGGATTCTGCCGTTTTATCCAGAGCTAACCTGGATAACTGTATTCTTGGGACATAGCTCTCTGCTGCTTCTTTAAACTGTCTGAATTCAATGTTGTCATTTGACTCTGATCTAATGACTTTAGATTCAGTGTTTTCATCTGAAGCTAATCTAGATGATGTTCTTTTAGCTGTAGCAGGTTCTGTGGCGTCTTTATCCTGTTTGGATTCTATATTGTCATCTGAGGCTAATCTAGGCGACGTTCTTTTAGCTGTAGCAGGCTCTGTGGCGTCTTTATCCTGTTTGGATTCTATATTGTCATCTGAGGCTAATCTAGGCGACGTTCTTTTAGCTGTACCAGGTTCTGTGGCATCTTTATCCTGTTTGGATTCTATATTGTCATCTGAGGCTAATCTAGGCGACGTTCTTTTAGCTGTACCAGGTTCTGTGGCATCTTT